TATTGTGACAACTTGAATTGATTGTAGGTTATTGTAGCGTAACCTGTAGGTGTTGTGACAGGTTAGTATTTTTAGTGTAACATGCAACGTGATTTAAGGCATTGAAGTGTAACGTGTGCTTAATGCAATTTATCTTTGTGGCTGTTGTAATGTAACATAGCCTCTTGCTGTGTGATTAGTGATCTTTACATGGCAACTCATGATCATAAGTGATGCAGCGTAACTTATTCTAATGTAAAACTTATGGCTATTGCAGAATAACTGTGGATCTAATTGCTCATAAGCAAAGGAAACTGAATCCAATGACACGAAATATCACTTAATTGACAGTATCCAAACATAATCTGACTTAACCTAACATAACCGGACCTAACTCAACCCAACACACTGTACTCAAACTCTTCGATACACAAGGAAACAGCATGGCCGACACTGCAATCAACCATCTTCCCTACCCCAGCTTATAAAGTTAAGCACTGTACCTATATACAACTGGAGGACTGAGGGTGACATGGATCGAACCAGAGACCTTTAGGATAGCAGGCGATCGCTGGACCCACTGTCTCTGTACACACTCTTTATTGCAGTGTAACTCATGGCAAGTACAGTGTGACTTATGGGTGTTGGGTGGCAAACATATGACTGTGGTAATGCAGATATATAGTGTTCTGGCCTATGATTATATATATCTGCTAATGGAAGAATGGACGTGTCGCTGTAGTGTAAACACCCGACTTGTGTTATATGTGGCGACTCATTTTTTAACCTTTAGTAATTTTTTCTTCTATATGTTGACTTTATAAACTGATTAAATTTTCTTATTTGTCTCTCCTTCCCTCTTTTCTATCTACCATAATTCTGCCTTTCTTTCACTTTTTTCCCTATCTCTCCCTCTTATTATAATCCCCAAACCACTTTCTACCACCCATCTAAATCCATTCCACGAGACATTATATATAAACACAGTAATTTATATTATTGTAGGAAATCACCATCTCAACACTTGTGATTTACTTCCCCTCTTTGTCCTCGTCAATAACTCATCCTCCTCTGTAATTCCGTTTTTCTTCTTATTTACTGCACCACATTTTCTTTCAATTACTATGTTGCTATTTTCTTGTTGTGATTTATTTTGTCTTGTGTGATATATTAAGGATTACTTCCTTCTTAATTGAAATATATCCTGATGTATAGTTCGTTGTGGTGTATTCTTTGCGGGGTTTGTCAATTGTACAGTGTATTTGTACTGTTTTTCTTGTAGTTGTTCTTGTTATTGTTGTTGTTGCTATTGGTCTTCTCGTTATTGTTCTCCTTGTTTTTGTTAATGTTCTTTTAATCATTGTTACACAATCCCAGTATACAATTAGGCTTCTTGAATCACTTCAAGATTCAACACCCCAACTTATATTAGTAACATAACCTAACACTGCAAACTAATCCACCCAGGCAGCATTAGGTAGTTAATCATCGGGTGAAATGAACCGAAGTGTCTATACTTCAGGTGATTCGGTTTATTTAGTCCACTTATTGTTGTACGATAGTTTAGGACGGGACGACTAGCAGTTCTCAGGCGTCCTTTTTTCTCCCTGTTCATCCTTGACCAGTGCTGGCTGACGAACGACCTATTATTATTTTTTTAAGGCAATCTCTTTTATTTTCCACATAAGGCTGCGTTAGTGAAAAGTACACACACACACACACACACACACACACACACACACACACACACACACACACACACACACACACACACACACAGGCGGAAGGACGGATGGACAGAGTAATGGAGACACGTAAACGCATCATAAGACAGATTATTATTATTATTATTATTATTATTATTATTATTATTATTATTAGTAGTAGTAGTAGTAGTAGTAGTAGTAGTAGTAGTAGTAGTAGTAGTAGTAGTAGTAGTAGTGTTATCGTTATTACTATCGGCTTCTCATAATTTACAGTTCACTTATCGATAATTAACGTCTAAGTGACTATTATAAAATGGACTCGCCAATAACCCACTTTCTATAATCACCTCTATAACCATCCTTTAACAGGCGATTATCAGAAGCACTTCCAATAACCAATCTTACACAATCACCTCAATAATCAACCCGCTATAACTTGCTTCCTAAGAGGCCCTCCTGGTGCCGGCCCGTCCAATAAGTCCCGCATAAATCAGCCATCAATTATACAACTCAAAGTATTAAAACAATTTCAAAAGTTTCCCCCGTAAAAGAAACGTCGTTTTCTCTTTTTTCTTAGACTTCTAATCTTGTCTAATTAAGGCATTTGTTTCCATTTTCTTTCGTGTCTTTTTTACTTTTCGCCAGATAATTTTATATTAAACTTGTTGGTTATTTAATAAAGATGGGTTAAATTATGTGTTTATTTTACGTCAATTATGTTATTTCGTCATAAAACAATTTTATATTTGTTTTCGTTTTGTTTTAAATGGTTTATAGTTTCGGATGAACCGTACACATGAGGGTCAGAATAGCACAGAAAATGAAGGTTTGTTTATGTGATCGTGTGTTCGTATGGAGTGTCTGTTTATAATAGGGTATGATAGTGAACGAAATGTTAAGAGCGAGAGAGAATGATAAAAGAAGATTATAATAGATGATCAGCGAAAGGAAGTGAACGTGTCTAGAGGATGCAACTCCTTAAGAATGATGTCAATCCCTTGTGTAAAACGAATTAGCCCAGTGAGTAACATATTGTAACCTCTTAATTAAGTACGATAACTTAACCCCTTGAGTGCAATATCTTAAACCAGATAGTACAATATATTAACCCCTTCAATGAGAGAGAGAGAGACGGGAAACTACACGAGAAATGGAATTAATCGACTGAACCTGACATTCTCTTCGTAACACAACTGACAATCACCTTTGACCTTATCACCACAATATCAATACATACCTTCCTCTACCCTCCGGAGCTACACAACCTTGACCCTTCATTGCAATTGTGGCTGGCAAATTGGACATATTGTTTTAAAACTAAAGACTTAATTAATCCCATATTTTCCGTGTTTGAGTTCATCCCCTCTTGACCCCTCCATCTTAAAAGCAATAGAGACTTAATATACCCTAGACAAGCGAGTGTGAAACTGCTGTCATCCATGGGTAAACAGACGGATGGAAAGATTGTTTTTGTTAAGGGTGTGACGACATTTGTCAACAATATGACGTACAGTAGCTAAAACAACTATCTGTGCAGGTGGGGGTCGATATGCTCCGAAATTTTACGTGTATGCACAGATAGTTGTTTTAGGTACTGTACAAAGGTTAGGAAACTTAAGCAACTGATAACTAAACAAGGAAGATTAGTGAAAATAAACCATGACAAAACTATAAAAAACTATATAACTCAAAGTAGGAAAAACTATATTTATTTGCGATATCGAAAACAAGAAAAACAGATTAAATAAAGTATGGAGTATTAGGGAAAAAATAACCTCATCCTAAAGAAAGCTTGGAGCTAATCCTTGTCGGCCCATCGGTAACAAAACTCGAACAATAGCTATACACCACTTCAACTACCCATTTCTCAACAACCAACAACCAATCCACCACCAACCCATCGTTTACTCTCCTCCCATCCCTACTTATACAACAGCTCTAATGGTCAATATATACAGGAAATACAACCAATCACACCAGCACGTATTTCAACCCAGGTGATGTAAGCCACTGCTCACCTGCATACCATCTATACAACAGGTGAGTTACTCCACCTTACGAACATCTACCTCCCTCTCGTCTTGTATGCCTCACTCTCAGGACGCTAGTTTGTGCCGACTCCCTCTACATGTGCTCCTCTTGCCCTATACGACCAGCAGCTTTTCAGATGTAGAGCAAAGAGGCTGCTTCTGTCAGTCGTAAGTTAGTGGTCTACTGTCCTCCTCCCGGGCCAGGCAGTACCGGGCGGCTCCACTCCTCTTCTCTTCCCCAGCGTATGACCCAGAGAGAGAGAGAGAGATCGTTAAAAAAAAATGTCGCTTTGTTGTTCGTTCGTCTTTCTACTCCCGGGACCTATACACAACATTCCTCAGCCTCCATAAGGAATATAAATGAGACAATTATATACCAGAAGGATACCTGAATGGGGGGGTTCAGCGAACTCTCCTATACGGGATCTTACATTGCTTCTGTTGTATATACTTATCGTATGGTGCTACTGTTACTTGACTTCTCTCCTGTTTCGTTACCTGTCTGTTTCTCCCCGTTACCAATATCTTCTACCCCGTTTTTCTCACCTCCCCTAATCTTCCTAATCTCTGTTGCATCCGTTACTTTTCCAATCTCTCCTACCTCACTAATCTCTCCCAGTCTCCCCCGTCTACCCCTGCCCCTAGCCGTATGTAAGCTCCCTTTTACGGTCAGCAGGTGGCAGGCGCTATAGTACACCTTGATATAGTCAATTGTGGAGTAATTTCACGGATGGCAAAGTACTACCTTGTTTATATTTTTTCCACGAGTGATTAAATCCCCAATCGCCGAGAATTTACAAATTTCACTCTACAATGTTGGAAATGTCAGACACATGTTATGTGGACATTCCCAACGTGTCAAGTATTTCGTTTTATATAATTACTGTATCGAAAAATGCGTGTAGGGAAATTCAAATTCTTTTTTTAGCTTCGGGACAACATCCCGAATAAGATTTTCTCACATGTATAAATCAAATGAACTAAATTATCTTTATACGCAAGCTTTTCTCTCTTTCACTCGTTATCTCTCTCGCTCACTCCCTATCCACACCTCTCTCTCTCACCCATCGGTCTCCGAAAAATCTCAGTAAGAAGTAAAGGTACAATATTTAAAGAACTATCTACCCCAGAGAGTTAAATACACTCGCTTTAATTAACAGGTTAACAGTACACTCTCGGTTGGGCATCTCCTCCTCCTCTCGTTAGTGCAAATTTGTGTTGACACAGTAAATGATTGTCGTAATGCCAACTCTACGAGGTTCCTTCAGCGCTATCACGGATCTAGGAGGAACCTTCAGCTCTAGGAGGAATCTTCAGCTCTACCACAGCTCTAGGAGGAATCTTCAGCTCTACCACAGCTCTAGGAGGAATCTTCAGCTCTACCACAGCTCTAGGAGGAACCTTCAGCTCTACCACAGCACTAGAAGGAACCTTCAGCTCTACCACAGCTCTAGGAGGAATCTTCAGCTCTACCACAGCTCTAGGAGGAATCTTCAGCTCTACCACAGCACTAGAAGGAACCTTCAGCTCTACCACAGCTCTAGAAGGAACCTTCAGCTCACAGATCTGGGAGGAACCTTCAGCTCACAGCTCTGGGAGGAACCTTCAGCTCTACCACAGATCTAGGAGGAACCTTCAGCTCTACCACAGCACTAGAAGGAACCTTCAGCTCTACCACAGATCTAGGAGGAACCTTCAGCTCTACCACAGCTCTAGGAGGAACTCTACCACAGCTCTAGAAGGAACCTTCAGCTCTTCTAGGAAAGCTCTAGAAGGAACCTTCAGCTCTACCACAGCTCTAGGAACCTTCAGCTCACCACAGATCTAGGAGGAACCTTCAGCTCTAGGAGGAACCTTCAGCTCTACCACAGATCTAGGAGGAACCTTCAGCTCTACCACAGATCTAGGAGGAACCTTCAGCTCTACCACACTCTAGAAGGAACCTTCAGCTCTACCACAGATCTGGGAGGAACCTTCAGCTCAACCACAGCTCTAGGAGGAACCTTCAGCTCTACCACAGCTCTAGGAGGAACTTTCAGCTCTACCACAGATCTAGGAGGAACCTTCAGCTCTACCACAGCTCTAGAAGGAACCTTCAGCTCTACCACAGATCTAGGAGGAACCTTCAGCTCAACCACAGCTCTAGGAGGAACCTTCAGCTCTACCACAGATCTAGGAGGAACCTTCAGCTCTACCACAGCACTAGAAGGAACCTTCAGCTCTACCACAGCTCTAGGAGGAACTTTCAGCTCTACCACAGATCTAGGAGGAACCTTCAGCTCAACCACAGCTCTAGGAGGAACCTTCAGCTCTACCACAGCTCTAGGAGGAACCATCAACACTTCAACTTTAAGTTACCATTATATCCCGATTTTTTTTAATTCCCCTAAAAATCGTCTTTTTTCGTGATTAATATGTCTTATAAAATTGCTTCTGTTATTTTATAGTTTGAAAAGGTTTTAATATACCCCAACCAAAGCTGGGAAGAGACTTGTTTCTTAGACAAAGTGTAAAACCAGACCAATACTGACAAAACTGTACGGGAACTAAAGACTATATCAACTAAAATGATCGTATTACCTCTTTTATACTTTGATAATTCCATTTTCTTTCAATTATTTTCAAAACTCACAAACAAAGAAACTATCCTTTAACGTGGACTCGCTGACTCCATCACAACTGACGTGATGATAACTGTGGTAAAATATGCGTTACAAAAGAACAATATCTGGACCGGCAAGGATCTGTCATCTATATTCATAACGTCGCCGGAGAGGACAGGGGAAGACTATGATTGTATTCAAATTGTGTTTGACAACTACAGTGGCACAAAATTCCTGAAAAAGACTGGAGGAGGGACGGTGATAGAGCTGTGACGAGGAATGTTCCCGTGCAGAGTGGACCACAACACGAGGCTCCCTGAGGCAGTACCTGACCACCACACACACCAAGGACAGTCTGGCTGCACCAAGACAGGAAGGCGCTACAGTATTTCTCCGCCGGCCAAAGAAAAATCATTCTTAACTAGAGATGTTAAACCCAACAAAGGCAAACTTAATCAGCTAACAAGCAGCCAGAAGGAAGCAGACGCCAAGATCATCATTCTCTGTCTACATGTAGGTACTGCAGGTGCCACAGGCCACATTCTGTCGCTTGGAACAGATGTGTTTATTTTAGCACATCGTCATCCGCCGCAGGTGGATGAAGAGACATACGTATCCATGGGAACTGGTGACGGGGCATTTAGGTTTCACTGCAACAAACCCTGAGTTATACCTCGTCATTGACTGTGATACAACTGGGCAGTTTATTGGACAGGAAAAGACTCCCGAAAATTCTTCACTGGTCACAAAAACCCTAAAAATATTCGTGTGCCAGTTGTATTTACACAGAATTATAGTGAAGCAAGATGGTAAACTACAATTCCTTCTACTCACGGAAACTCAAACTGAAAATCCTCCTCATCGCCCAAACCTGCCCTCACTCAGTGCACCAAGCGCCTGTGCCGACCCTCACCCCAAGTTGTTGTGACTCTGTTCATTTTGACAGAGAACTCATACTAACATTCACGTAATTAAGTCAGCAACAGATGTAATTATACAGATCGTGTAATGTGGTTGTAAGGGGTAACCGTGTACCGTGTGAGGGTAACCGTGTACCGTGTGAGGGTAACCGTGTACCGTGTGAGGGTAACTGTGTACCGTGTGAGGGTAACTGTGTACCGTGTGAGGGTAACTGTGTACCGTGTGAGGGTAACTGTGTACCGTGTGAGGGTAACCGTGTACCGTGTGAGGGTAACCGTGTACCGTGTGAGGGTAACCGTGTACCGTGTGAGGGTAACCGTGTACCGTGTGAGGGTAACTGTGTACTGTGTGAGGGCAACCGTGTACTGTGTGAGGGTAACTGTGTACTGTGCGAGGGTAACCGTGTACTGTGTGAGGGTAACTGTGTGAGGGTAACTGTACGAGAATATTACTTCAGTGTTGTGTATGACCAGAACACTGGCCCTAGCGCGAACTACAGCGGTAAGTAAATGGACAGCAGGAAGACAGAGGATTCATCTTGACTCACAGTTAATGCAGGAGAAAATGAAATGAAGACTTTGCCGGAGAAATAAGCTCAAGACATATGGTCATGTGGATAAAGGTGGCAGCTTAAGCACGGTTTGTTATTATGATGAAAAACGTTTACGTCACAATTATCTCGTAAAATATTAATGATGATTTATTGTGTGAAGGAAGGATATGAGGATTATATAGGCAGAATGTCAATCAGGTATATGAGCATAATTACAATTGATATATAAACATTTAATTAGTACAGATATCTTACGTGGTGTAATTCACATGTGTGTATTAATATATAACCACTAAAAATAAACACTGGACTATGAAGCACCACCCAGAGATGGTAACACGATTAATGGTGAATAATTCTTTAGATAAATACTTTTGTCAATAACAGCTGTTTAAATTAACAAAGTGGCCGGCACTGTATCACTGAGGGTGCCCTGGGCGTCAACTAGCGACCCTTTGGACAGGTGAACGCTATATCTACTCCACCACCTCATCCCAGTGCTATAATGTTACTAGATGGTTAAATCACATCTTAACATGCCCTTGTTATCAAATTTCGGTCCAAACTAGAAACGCTTTTAAGTCATTTAACAGAGTATTAACCTTAAGTGACCTTTAAATGATTTTAAATTTCAAAAGATAAATTGATGCCAAAGTTTAATTTTTAGTAGTCAACAGGACCTACAGGTAAATGTTATAAAATTGCTTGTGTATATTAGTTTAACAACCCCCCTATATTATATGATAAACATTATGCGTCCCATAAATATTATCACACACACACACACACACACACACACACACACACACACACACACACACACAGGAGAAGAAGAAAAAAAGTCCTTTACCCACATACTTTCTGACCACACAAACACCCACACTTAAAAGGCATCCTCTATTTGGCAGTGTTATATTAAACAAGTCATTCATCACGGTTCTCTTTACTAACTCGTACCTCCTCCTCCTCCCGCCTCCACTGCCAATTAGGACGATGATCCACACATTCTATGCTCACTCGCCCTCCCTCTCTCTTTCTCCCCCACCACACACGCGAGCGGCCCCCTCTCACCTCACCCCCCACCCCCCTCATCCACACAGTTCGTCTTTTGTTTTCATTCATCCACTCTCTTCTTAACGAGCTATTCTCTCTCCTTCTTTTATACATCGTGTTTTTCCACCTTAATCCATCTTCTTCTAGATCCACTTCCTCCCTAACCAACATCCACCCAACTCTGTCTTTGTTGCACCCACTTCTCCACCCTCTCCTCCACCCACTTCCCCCCTCACCAACATCCACCTACTTCGCCTTTGTTCCACCCACTTATCCACCCTCACATCTATCCACTACACCCCCCACCAACATCCACCCAACCGTCTTTGTTGCACCCACTTCTCCACCCTCTCCCCCCGAACCCCGTCTTTGGAAATCTATTTGGAGAGACTGAAGCAACTTTCCAATATAGATGGCACCAATATCGCCCTTCCCAAATACGGTCCTAAGACTAATTACGTATTCAAGAATCTCCCTTCACCAACGTTCACTTATTTACCTTCTTTATTAACCTCTGCTTGCCAACTGAGGGTCGAGGAAACTTTTTTTTTTCACTTTTATTAATCTATTCCTTCTTCTTTCTTTTTTCTTATTTCTTCGCTCTCCTCCGGCCTGGCGATGGAGAGAAAATTGTTTCTTTACTTTTCGGTGATGACAAATCGTTCGTTAGTTCCTAGAGAGGGTAGTAACGGTGTGGTATGTCTGGGTTCACTCTCTCTTCTCTCCAGGGACTCACAAATTGTTCACATGTATATTTAATCTCGTTTTTACCACTCGGATTTGCCGCTACAGAAACGTCCACAAAGGCTGGCAAATAACGGAGCCAGTCACCGTGCTCAGAACCCCAGATTCATACGTTGGGGTTCTTTTCCCACCGTGATAGAAATATGAGAATGTGTGTAAATGACTCTTATTGACTGAGGCACTAAGTTGGCGGACTCTACATAACGAGGAACTTGTAGAGGGGGAGGGGGGATGAGGAATGAAAGGGGGGGGGGCGGTGAGGAAAGGGAGAGGGGATGAGGATGGCGAGGGAGATTATCATATAGGGAACTTTGCGAGGCCTAACACAGCAAGCGAACCATCCTCCTCCTCCTCCCCGCGACTCTCCGACACGCCACCACTACTACACAACCACATTACTTCCCTCATCACTAAACACTGACTTCATTTTGCGTTCTTTCTCTACACTGTATAATGGTCGCCTTCCCTCGCTTTGTTTATCACGGCAAAACATTAAATATAAATGATCGTTGTTTGTGGCTTTGGTAAATAGAGATCGTTTACTAATATGTTTCATACAAGAGACGATAAAATTTTTCTTTGGATTGAATTTTTTTAATGGTCTGAAAAATGGATTCTCTTCTTAGGGTTTAATTATGAACTTTAGACCAGAATAAAACTATCTTTTTACTGTGGCCTTGATAATTACGTTGAAAATATCAGACCAAAAAAGATGGTTTCCCAAACTTTCATTATAAGTTACGTGGAATATGAAAAATAACCTTTACTGTGTTTAATTATGGTATTACGACATGATATAAAAGAAAATATCTCCACGCTTAAGTTCCTTCTAACTTTCTCTACACATTCAATTTCGTCATGGGTAGCGGCTAGTTTATTGTGCACCTCATACTTATCCCGTGAGCGGCAGAACAAAAGGACTACGAAAGATCATAAAATACATAATTGTGTAGATCTAAGTGAGAAACATTCCTACAGACACACGATAGCGATGTCCTCAGTCACAACCTTGCAATGGAGGCCAAAAGGACATTTTCTAAAGGATATAATATTCCAAGTGAAATTATCGTCACTCCATTATATCTGTCTACGTGGCCCGTGTGTTGGCAGTTGTAACAGCTTCTGGGAGGGAGACCGATGACGGCAGCCAATAGGAACAATGAGAGTTTTGGGCGAGTCTTCATTGTCAGTCGAATCAGCATCAACATATTTTCCTCAGTCGTTTCAGCCTGGTTATGGAGAGGGTCGAGTACAATAATGGAGGGGGTCTAGTACAATGTTGGATGGAGGGGGGGTCGAGTACAATGATGGAGGGGGTCGAGTACAATGATGGGGGGTCTAGTACAATGTTGGATGGAGGGGAGGTCGAGTACAATGATGGAGGGGGTCGAGTACAATGATGTTGCCTGCTGACAGGGAGATTGCTATTTCAGTGTTGAGGCCAGCTAAAGTATTTGTGTCA